CGGGCTGTTGCATCAACACTGCATCCGGCCAGAAGCCTCCTCTCCTAACTCCCCAGGCTGCGCCTCCACGCTGGCGGGATCCAGGCTTCTGCCTGTTTCTTTCGCAGGTGACAGAAAGCGGATCCGGCAGCCTCGCATGTTCTGACCAGAGCGTTCTGCACCGTAACAATTTGTCTGCGTGATGTTTTTTGTAAATCACACAGTCCTGTGTATCCTGGAGCCACGCGCCCACCCACCTGAGAGGGCAAAGCGGGACACGGAAGCCTCGCCAAACCCCGGGCCCACACCCCGGCCCTGCAGCCAGGACATGCAGGGCCCAGCCTGGACTTGCCAGGATGCCTTGGAAAGAGCCCCCGCGGTGCTCCTGCCGTCGGGGATCCACTCCACGCCCTTCCCTGCTTTCCTGGCCTGCTGCACTGCGGGCGTCACACGGGTCTCTCTGGCCGGAGAAGAGGCACCTGGTGTGGTGGAGAGAAGATGGGTTGAGGCCGGTGTCACGGAGCTCGCAGAGTTGTGGAGACCTCTGTGAATGTCCCCCCATTCCAGGCCTCTGTCTGCATCCCAGAGGAGGGCCTCACCCGGACACGGACCCAGAGGAGGGCCTCAGCCCGGACACGGACCCAGAGGAGGGCCTCAGCCCGGGCACGGACCCAGAGGAGGGTCCCAGTCCCGGCGCAGACGAGGAGGAAGGTCCCGGGTTGGACGCGGACCCAGAGGAAGGACCCAACCTGGACGCAGACACAGAGAAGGGTCCCAGGCCAGACACGGATGGGAGGGCGGAAGGCTGGGCCCAGCGTGAGCCGAGGGTGCCCCCTGGTGGCAGTGATGACGCTGTGCAAAGCGGGTCCTGCCACGTGAACCCTTTTTAATTCAGGGACAAGAGTGGGAGACGTAGACGGGCCAGGCTGCCCCAGCACCAGCAAATCTTATCATGAATTCTTTGTGCGGAGGTCACAGCCCCTCCCCTGCTGTCTGTCAGCTCCTGGGGACTACAGCACAAAGCTTATGGGTTCACTTTATTGCAACAAGGAAACCACGTTGTGTGTAACCAATAGAGTCGCTCTAAGACACTGCTCACACCCGTGTTCATCATTCACGTTCCCACTGCACTGAACGCGTGTTCATCGTAGAAACAAACTGCAAGTGGGAGGTGACGTTATAGTGACAGTCCGGATCTAGAAGCAACATCCCGTGATTTTATGCTGTAGGGATGTCGTGTCAGCCACCACGTGCAATGTCACCGTGACGCGGATGACCTGCTGGTGAGCGTGCGTGTCTTGAGTTCCCTGTGCACGCACCGCACCAGGCCCTGGGGCTGGAAAACAGCGGTGAGTGGGTGTTCAGCCTCTGCCCGGATGGAAGAGGCTTCTCCACCCCAGAGCTCTTTCCTACTTTCAGTAGGTGATGGAACCAATCAGCTGCAGGAAGGTGGAAGTATCTTCCTGTCAAAAAAGAAAAGAAGAAGAGAAAGACTGGCCTTTAAAATGTAAACAAGAAGCTGAACTAGATACATAGTTTTAATTTAAATACCAGAGCAAGTCTTTGAAGAGCTAGCCAAGCACTGACCTGAGCCTTCCGTTCGTTACTTATTTTGTTTTTGAGAGGGAGTCTCGCTCTGTCACACAGGCTGGACTACAGTGGCACAATCTCAGCTCACTGCAACCTCCACCTCCCAGGCTCAAGCGATTCTCCTGCCTCAACCTCCCAAGTAGTTGGGACTACAGGCGCCTGCCACCACACCCAGCTATTTTTTTTTTTTTTTAGTAGAGACGGGGTTTCAGCATGTTGGCAGGCTGGTCTCAAACTCCTGACCTCAGATGATCTGCCCGCCTCAGCCTCTCAAAGTGCTGGGATTACAGGCATGAGCCACCTCCCTCACCCAGCCCCATTTGCTCTTACTCCTTCCAGAACACCCCTGGGTTTCCCTTACGAGGGCTCTGCTCCAGGTGCAGCACAAGGAGGAAAAGATGACCTCGAGGCTTCTTCCCACCAAGGTGTGGGGAGGAGGGGGACACAGGGCCGGGCAGTACACACAGAAGGAGGCAGGCAGTCCCGGGGTTTACATCGGTGGGCGCCCGAAAGAGGGGAGTAGGTGCCCACCGGGATGGGACAGAAGGAGCCGCCAGAGGTGAGACCTTCCGAACAGCAGAAGGGACAGTGCTGGGCGAGGCAGGGTGAATCCTGGGGTGGGAGGAAGGCTGAGAAGCACAGCTGCAGGAGGCAGGCGCGGGATGAGCCAGGCAGGCTCACATGTGTTCGGCTGTGTGTGCATTCGCCGGGCCTGGCAGCAAACTCACACTTGGCCAGGTGGCGTCACTCCTGTGCCTGTCGCTGCTGTTACTTCTCCTGTGTCTTGGTCCTGACCTAGGCATTGTAGTTGGTATGTAAGCACGGAGAGGACCATAAAAAGGAGGCTGGGGTGGGGGGTTGATATTACAGGCTGCGTAAATATCCAGGGGCAGTTTTCTGAGGCCTCCTTTCTGCTTGGTTTCCCCAAAGAAGCTTCCTGGATGGACCAGTCCTGACAAGGGCCTTCAGCTCATTCTAAGTAGAGGAACTCACGACCCCTGCCTTCCCCCAGCATGGATTCTCTGATTTGAGACTCTCTCTGAGTCCCAGAAAGCGAGGCCAAAAGTGACCACCGTGTTGGGAAACTCTCCCTCCTGAAGCCGCCGCTGCCTTCAACACATTACCAGGTTTGCAAAACACCATGAGTAAGACAGCCTTTCTCCAAGGATGTCACACATTCCCCCCTCAGGAAGGAAAAGACCCTGCCATCCTGCAAGGACTCACGGCATTACCGTTTAAAATCTTGAGTAATTGCTGTTTTTCCAGTCCTCCTTTGAAATTCCAAGAGAGAGGATAGAAGGAGCAAATTCAGGGCAGATTTGATTTCCGCCACGGAAGGAACCCGGACAGACTGTCACAACTCAACTCGCGGCACCTCCTCCACCCCAGCGTCACGGCCTCTCCTCCTGCAAAACTCGTTTAAACGCAGGTCTTTTCTCATTTTGGCGTTTGTCCGAACCTTGAAAACCAATTGAAACGGAGTCGCAAAACACTCAGATTCAAGAGAGCCAGCGAGTCTGCGAATCATTTTTAAGATGAAAAATGAAAATAGGCCAGGCGCGGTGGCTCACGCCTGTAATCCCAGCACTTTGGGAGGCCGAGGCGGGTGGATCACGAGGTCAAGAGATCGAGACCATCCCGGTCAACATGGTGAAACCCCGTCTCTACTAAAAATACAAAAAATTAGCTGGGCACGGCGGTGCGTGCCTGTAATCCCAGCTACTCAGGAGGCTGAGGCAGGAGAATTGCCTGAACCCAGGAGGTGGAGGTTGCGGTGAGCCGAGATCGTGCCATTGCACTCCAGCCTGGGTAACAAGAGCGAAAACTCCAACTAAAAAAAAAAAAAAAAAAAGAAAAGAAAAATGAAAATAATAATAATGCTTGAGCGGTGGTGGAATTTCACTTTAAGTACAGGTTTTCACTGAGAGGCTCCCGCTAAGAACATAATTTTAATCTGCCTGGCATTGGATCAACCCTGACTCCCTAATAGTAAAGGGTGTTGGTATTAGAGAGCATTTGTTTGCAGTTTCTTGGGGCCATATTCCCATGGGTCATCTCTGTCCCTCCTGTGTTTGCAGATGGGAGACATGAGGTTAAGAGGTGTCCAGATCCATTTCAGAGGTGATTGAGATCCTCTGTTATCTGCAGGAAAGGAATTGCCAAACGTCCCCCATCCCGCCAAGCCGCGGAGCCTTCCAGCACAAATGCACCTGAGCACGGCTCACCTGGGACTGTGGCCAGGCGCCAGCTAGCGGGACAGGAGGGCAAGTCTGATGAAGTGCAGGGGCTCTCAGCCCTAGCAGGACATTCGGAACACGCTGGAGAGCTTGAAACCCACCTGTGTGAGGGAGGCTGAGGGCTGGAGCCCACCTGTGTGAGGGAGGCTGAGGGCTGGAGCCCACCTGTGTGAGGGAGGCTGAGGGCTGGAGCCCACCTGTGTGAGGGAGGCTGAGGGCTGGAACCCACCTGTGTGAGCGGAGGCTGAGGGCTGGAGCCCACCTGTGTGAGGGAGGCTGAGGGCTGGAGCCCACCTGTGTGAGGGAGGCTGAGGGCTGGAACCCACCTGTGTGAGCGGAGGCTGAGGGCTGGAACCCACCTGTGTGAGGGGAGGCTGAGGGCTGGAGCCCACCTGTGTGAGCGGAGGCTGAGGTCCAGCCCTGCTGCCCATGGGCACGGCGACTCCACGGTGGGTGTGTGAGCTTCAGACCCGCTTAGCCTCACTTCCTTCTCCCTGCAGGACGAGAACACCAGACCCTGGGCACTGCATTTGCTTTGCAAGCCTGACTTCCAGAGTTGACCACTGGGAATGTTTTGCGAATAGGGCTCAGGAAACAGTCTTCCTGCGATTTATCTTTTCATTCTCCATGAACCCGGAGTAATACTTTCTTCCTAAAATAATGTTTATGGAGCACTCCTTCAATATATTTTAAATGTTGAAATAGATTTACTTGATTTTTTCTCAATACGAAAGATATGTGTGTGTTTTGTAATAAATATAATCAATATGGAAAGTGTAAAATAAAAGATGAAAATAACCAAAAATTCCACAATCCAAGGATAGTAGAAGTGATATATATCCACCACCCAAAACCCAAAACTGTCCTTCCAGAATTTCTATTATATATGTTTATACCAAAATAAAATGATGGCGTGCTTTGCTTGGTGACCAGTGTGATTCGCGTGTTGCTCCGTATGCAGTCAGGTTTATCAGTCTTCCATGGATACACCTCAGTTACGGAAACAGTCGTGAAGCACACAGCCTTTTCCAAATGCGTGACGGACTGAGCCCTGGGAAGGGGGGGGAAGCGTGGTCAGATGTCGCTCAGGGGACACCATCAGTCTCAGCGGCTCCTAATTTCAGCCATGACTCCATGGGGACTTGGAGATCTGGCCCTGGGAGATCGGGTGGGTCTGCATGGAACGCGCCCTGTGCTGCCCTCAGTCACGCTGACCCTGAGGAATCAGAACGGAAAGGTGGCAGCTCCCAGTCCCAGGGAAAGGATCCCAGTGGAGAGCCTGGGCCTGACTCACCCCACCCGGTGGTCCTGAGGGTGCTGAGAGAGGAGTCTCCGTGGGTCCGCTCACCCCACCCAGTGGTCCTGAGGGTGCTGAGAGAGGAGTCTCCGTGGGTCCGCTCACCCCGCCCGGTGGTCCTGAGGGTGCTCTGAGGTGAGTCTCGGTGGGTCCGCTCACCCCACCCAGTGGTCCTGAGGGTGCTCTGAGGTGAGTCTCGGTGGGTCCGCTCACCCCACCCAGTGGTCCTGAGGGTGCTCTGAGGTGAGTCTCGGTGGGTCCGCTCACCCCACCCAGTGGTCCTGAGGGTGCTCTGAGGTGAGTCTCGGTGGGTCCGCTCACCCCGCCCGGTGGTCCTGAGGGTGCTCTGAGGTGAGTCTCGGTGGGTCCGCTAACCCTGCCCAGTGGTCCTGAGGGTGCTGAGAGAGGAGTCTCGGTGGGTCCGCTAACCCCGCCCAGTGGTCCTGAGGGTGCTGAGAGAGGAGTCTTGGTGGCCACAAGGTGACTGCCTCCTAGACGCAGCTGCTTCATGGCTTGTCGGTCACGGTGATTCTTCCGGAAGCAGGATGTCTGCATAGCAGAGTTAGAAGGTCATGTTTTCAGGTACACAATTTCTAAGCTGTATTTTCCTAGCAGTCCTATACAAAGGAAAATTGAAGATTTTAGCATTTCTTCTCAGGAGTAAATATGCATGTGTGTGCCCATCTCTATGCCTGGGTGCTGGGACAGAGCCCTGACCCCAAACAACTTCATGGCGCCCACGGAGGCTGCAGCTGTCCAGGCATCTCCACAGCCAGGAGGCTGAGGGCAGGAGGGAGATAGCACCAGTTCTCTCCCTTTCTGTAGGCTGAGGCCCCCCAGTGCCAGGCACCTTCTAGGGTGGAGCGCCTCAGAGCAGAGGCCCTGCACTGGCCCCAGGGCCAGCTGCTCTGACCTCCCTCATCCCCAGCCCCCTTACCCTAGGCTTCCATGCACCAGGAAATGGATTTGGTATTTCAAATCCCTCTTGGAAGGTTCCCTTTCAGGAGACGATCCTGAACATGCCCTCTTCCCTGAGTTACAGCATGAACGTGGCTCAGACCTATGCAGCCTCCACAACCTCCCAGGGATTCTGAGTCGGACCCACATGCCCAGCACACTCCATCTTCAGGACAGTCCTTCACCACCCAGGAGACACAGACCCTGCTCTCCAGACACACATCTGAGAGCCGTGAGAAAGAACGGTCCCTCCGCCTGCAGCCTGATGGCCAGGCACCTCCACCACACGCCTGCTCTGGACACCTCTGCCACCACCTCTGGCCACACTGGACACTTGAGGAGAGTAACCGTCATGGTGATATTTAAAGGGAACATTCACACCTGGGATTTGGAGATGGGGACCGGCTGTCGATGAGCCACTTCATGGTACCCCTGGACTTTCTGATCCTTCAGTTCTCCACAGACAAGGCCTGCTGTGGTTCCTCCACCATGGGTCCCAGCCACATGCAAACTCCATAACCACCGTCCAGGGCCACCTCCCAGAATCGCTGCACAGGACCACATCCCAGAGCATCCCTCAGAGATACATTTCAGGGCCAGTCCCAGAATCACCTCCCAGAATGAGTCACCTCCCAGAGTCACCCCTCAGAATCCCCCCCAGAGTCACCTCCCAGAATCACTTCCCAGAATTACCTCCCCCAGGGTCACCTCCGAGAGTCACCTCCCAGAGTCACCTCCCAGAAGCACCTCCCAGAGTCACCTCCCAGAATCACCTCCCAGAAGCACCTCCCAGAGTCACCTCCCAGAAGCACCTCCCAGAATGAGTCACCTCCCAGAATCACCTCCCAGAAGCACCTCCCAGAATGAGTCACCTCCCAGAAGCACCTCCCAGAGTCACCCCCCAGGGCCACCCTTCAGGCCCACCTCTCAGACTCACCTCCCTGGGCCCCTTCCATGGCCAATCTCTCGTAGCCCTTCTGGCCCGCTATTGAGCTGTCCTTGCCCAAGTTGGCAGTATCTTAAAGCTGTCTTGTTTCTCCCTGTATTTGTTTACCATCAATTTTTTTCTCTTTAAAGCCTTGGTGGCCCCTCCTGGAAGATATCTCAGCCGTTCTAATTGCTGTGAAATCGGCACCAAAATACTGTAAAAGCCCCCTGCTGTGCGCTCCTGTTTTCCTTCCCTCTCTCCATTTCTTCCTGGAGATGTTTCCTCTTGCCTGCGAACTAAGCAGACACAGGAAGGGCTGGGGAACCCTCTCTCCTCTCTGCCTCCCTTTGCCTCCATGGACACCATGTCTCACCCATCAGCCCTGTGGGGTCACAGGACAGGCTCTATTCCAGACAGACACCCAGTGAGGGGCAAGGGGCAAAGGGCACATCCTCCCCTCCAGGCTTCATGACTCAGTAGCAGCCAGACTATCGCTCAACACCTTCTAGTAGGTTAAACAAAGATCAATCTCACAGGCCAAGATTATGTCAGACAAACAATAATACTTTCCGTATATAAATAACAAGCGAGTTCCAAAAATGCTGCTCTGTCATCAGCCACACCTGGCCTCATTACCAGCGCTGCTCCAATCGAAGCCACCAACTTTTCAAATGAAGAAAAGCTTTGTTGACTGTTTTCATCCTGGGAAAGGAGGGTGGTTCTTCATGCTCCTCAAAGAACGTCTAATGAGATGCACATTGAGAAACACACTTTAAATAGCATATCGTAAGCAATAAAGCATATTTGAAAGTATGGGAGGACCCAAGCACCCACTTGACAATTTCTCATGCTCTCTTCCCGCCATCTCCCTCTCCCCCTCCATCTCCCACTCCCCCTCCATCTCCTTCTCTCCCTCTCCCTCTCTCCCTCCATCTCCCGCTCCCTCTCCATCTCCTTCTCCCTCTCCCTCTCCCCCCATCTCCCTCTCCATCTCTCTCCCCCTCCATCTCCCTCTCCCCCTCCATCTCCATCTCCCTCTCCCCCTCCATCTCACTCTCCCCCTCGATCTCCCTCTCCCCCTCCATCTCCCTCTCCATCTCTCTCTCCCCCTCCTCTCCATCTCCCTTTCCCTCTCCTCTCCATCTCCCTCTTCATCTCCCTCTTCATCTCCCTCTCCCCACTCCGTCTCCATCTCCCCCTCCATTTCCCTCTCCACCTCCCTATCCCTCTCCCCCTCCTTCTCCATCTCCCCTCCCTCTCCCCCTCCTTCTCCATCTCCCTCTCCCTCTCCCTCTCCAGCTCCCTCTCCCCCTCCATCTTCCTCTCCCCCTCCATCTTCCTCTCCCTCTCCCTCTCCCCCTCCACCTTCCTCTCTGTCTCCCTCTCCCTCTCCATCTCTATTTCCCTCTCCCTTTCCCCCTCCATCTCCTTCTCCCCCCCAATCTCCCTCTCCCCCTCCATCTTATTCTCCTACTGTATCTCCCTCTCTCTCTCCCCATCTCCTTCTCCCTCTTCATCTTTCTCTCCCCATCCACCTCCCTCTTCCCCTCCATCTCCCTCTCCCCCTCCCTCTCCCCCTCCCCCACTCCATCTCCTTCTCCCCCTTCAGTTAGTTGAAGAGTCTCCTTATGAAGAAAAAAATAACAGCATCTACACATTACATGTAGTATCGCTGTCCCTGAAAACAGCGTTATGTTAGTTTAGCATGAACAGCGTAACTAACATCTGCTGTTTCCTTCCACCTACACACTAAGGAAGGAGGGTCCTTGCTCCCAGCCAGTGGGGGCCAAACACATCCCTGATGGGAACTGCACACTCATGCATCTGCTAAAAGAAGAACTCTAGCAGGATCAAGTTTAACAGAGTTTAATTGAGCAATGAACAATTCATGAATCAGGCAGTCTCCTGAGCCACAACAGGCTCAGAGAGACTCCAGCACAGTCACGTGGTGGAACAGTATTTAGGACAGAAAAAGGAGACGCACAGAAGACAGACGTGAGGCGCAGAAACAGCAGGACTCGTTACATCTCAGCATTTGTGGTATTTGCTCATGGTGTGAACAGTTGGCCACCTTTGACTGGCCGAAACTCATTGACTGGTGCAAGAGTAGGCTACAGTCTGTTTACACCTCCACGTGTTACAGTTCTCAATGTACAGAGAACATGCAGGTTGAATTTAAAATGTTTAGGGGGGCAGTTTTAGGCTACACTTGATTTAAGAGATTGCAAAGGCTCCCCAATGCTCAGCTCTCAAACGTGCAAGTCCTCCCAGCTGCTCAAAGGCACCTCTGCCCCCTCGGCCCCCCCGCCCCCTCTGCCCCCTCTGCCCCCTCCTCTGCCCCCCCTCTGCCCCGTCTGCCCCCTCTGCCCCCTCTGCCTCCTCTGCCCCTCCTCTGCCCCCCCTCTGCCCCCTCTGCCCCCTCCTCTGCCCCTCTGCCCCCTCTGCCCCCTCCTCTGCCCCCTCTGCCCCCTCTGCCCCCTCCTCTGCCCCCCCCACCCCTCTGCCCCCTCCTCTGCCCCCTCCTCTGCCCCCTCTGCCCCCTCCTCTGCCCCCCTCTGCCCCGTCTGCCCCCCCCCTCTGCCCCCTCTGCCCCCTCCTCTACCCCCTCTGCCCCCTCTGCCCCCTCCTCTACCCCCTCTGCCCCCTCCTCTGCCCCCTCTGCCCCCTCCTCTGCCCCCTCCTCTGCCCCCTCTGCCCCCTCTGCCCCCCCTCTGCCCCCTCTGCCCCCTCTACCCCCTCTTCCTCCCTCTGCCCCCTCTGCCCCCTTTGCCCCCTCCTCTGCCCCCAGCCCCCTCTACCCCCTCTGCCCCCTCTGCCCCCTCCTCCCCCCCCTCCCCTGCCCCCTCTGCCCCCTCTGCCCCCTCTGCCCCCCCTGCCCCCTCTGCCCCCTCCTCTGCCCCCTCGGCCCCCTCCTCTGCCTCCTCTGCCCCCTCTGCCCCTCCTCTGCCCCCTCTGTCTCCTCTGCCCCCTCTGCCCACATGATGCTGTGTGCTAATCAACACAACACAATAGCACAAGCTGGAACCCGGCTGCACCAGGAGCGTGGCGTCTGTTAGCTAGGAGACCAAAGCCACGTAAGAGCAATACTAATCATTAAACATTCAGATGATGTGCTTCCGACAGGAGCGTCCGCGGGAGGACAGGTGCAGCTGAGGCCATGAGCAAGGGGATTGGCGGGAGGAGGCACCAGAGCACGGGGAGCTCACGCCTACCGAGGGCCGCCCTTGCTGGTCACCGGCCAGGCCCGCTGCAGTGCCCACACCTCCCTAGGGCCGCCCCTGCTGGTCACCAGCCAGGCCCACTGCAGTGCCCACACCTCCCTAGGGCCGCCCCTGCTGGTCACCGGCCAGGCCCGCTGCGGTGTCCACACCTCCCTAGGGCCGCCCCTGCTGGTCACCAGCCAGGCCCACTGCAGTGCCCACACCTCCCTAGGGCCGCCCCTGCTGGTCACCCGCTGGGCCTGCTGTGTTGCCCACAGGCTTGATCTTCTCAGGTTTCTGGAAGTAGATGTTTCTGCACATTTATCTCACAGGTGAGGAATGTGACGCTGGGGCACTTCCAATGTCGGGAAGAAATATGTTACTGTTGAAGCCTGAATTTGAACCCTGAGTCCAGCCTGCAGGAAAGAAGGGAGCAACTTAAACAGAGGCAGAAAGCAGGTGGTAAGGGGGGCACAGACGCAAAGGGAAGGGGCTGGGTGTGCCTGGCACTTCTGCGGACAGTGCATCACCGCGGGCTGATGGGGCGCTGGACGTGAGGTGTGCAGACTTCGAGCTGTTTGTCATTTGCTGCAAGTGCTGCAGGGGAGTCTCCCCTTCATTCTCACGGGGACAGGGGATGCCTTTTGCAGCCTTTTTGGGAGAATTCTCTGCAGCTGCCTCTTTCTGGAGCCCTGGGTCAGGTGCAGCCTTTTTGGGAGAATTCTCTGCAGCTGCCTCTTTCTGGAGCTCTGGGTCAGGCTGAAGATGTCCGTGTCCCCCCGCGTGGACACCAGGGGGCACCCCACCTTCACAAAGGAGGCGCAGGCTCCCACAACCAGGACAGGGCCTTCATCCTCAACAAGGAGGAAGAGTCCAGCCCACTGCACAGCCCTGCGGCTCGCACTCAGCGTCACCTTAAAGCATGTGTAGTTTCCACGTGCTCTGACACAGGGGAGCCAGGCTGAGGCCTTGAGTGCAGAGTTCAGCTGTGACTGTCCCACGGTGACCCTGCTGCCTGTCCAACACGTGGGGCAAGAGGGTCCTTCTAGAGGCTGCTGCAGCCCGCAGACCACAGTGGCTCTGGGGGGACGCGGAGTCCAGCCATGCACCCCCACTGCCAACGTGCCCCACTGCCTACGTGCCCCACTGCCAACGTGCCCCACTGCCTACATGCCCCACTGCCCACGTGCCCCACTGCCCACGTGTCCCACTGCCCACGCGGCCCCACTGCCCAGGTGCCCCATTGCCCACGCGGCCCCACTGCCCACGCAGCCCCACTGCCCACGTGTCCCACTGCCCACGCGGCCCCACTGCCTACGTGCCCCACTGCCCACGTGCCCCACTGCCCACGCGGCCCCACTGCCCACGTGTCCCACTGCCCAGGCGGCCCCACAGCCACCCCAAGGCAAACGTCTCTGTTTTTGTCTCTTTGCAGACACTTGAATTTTAATCAAAATCCAGCATCCCAAATCGAGCGATAAAGATAGAATCTGAATGCTATCTCTGACATCATTTTTCCTTTTTTTCTTTTTTGAGGTGGAGTCTCACTCTGTCACCCAGACCGGAGTGCCGTGGTGCGATCTCGGCTCACTGCAACCTCTACCTCCTGGCTTCAAGAGATTCTTCTGCTTCAGCCTCCTGAGTAGCTGGGATTACGGGCGCACACCATCACACCTGGCTAATTTTGGGGGGTTTGTTGTATTTTTAGTAGAGATGGGGTTTCACCATGCTGGCCAGGCTGGTTTTGAACTCCTGACCTCAGGTGATTAGCCCACCTTGGCCTCCCAAAGTTCTGGGATTGCAGGTGACATCAGTTTCAATGGACTGGGTTGGAACATTTTTTAAGATATCGAGGGCTGTTCTCTAGGCAAGGGCAGAGGGAAGCTGCGAGTTCTGAATCGACACCAGTTGTAATGGCAGTGGTCTAACAATTGCTATAGAAAAACTACCTGACAACAGAATGCAGAAGCCACAGAAATACTGACATCCTTTACCTGTCAAATCCACACAGAGAAATCTCACCTGAGAAAAAAATCCTGGGTACGGAAAATCATTACACATAAGACATCTTCATCAAAATGCCGTTTCTGATCAAAGTCGCTCAAAAACTCTTTGAAAGTCTTAACAGCAGGGGTAATGCAGCTCGGTTGAGTACCCCGCTCAGGAGAATATGGTCCAGGCATTAAGGTCTGCGATCGCCACTGTGTACAACCTAGAAAACGCCTCTACTGCATTGGACTGTGTAAAATATAGGCTCAGAAAAGCAGAGCTAGAAGAAACTGAGCCGAAGTATTCGTGTACTTGTCTTCCAACAAGGAGATTCTAGATTCCAGCTCTTTTGGGGTGTTTGAAAGTGTATGTGATATGGTTATATTTTAATTGACAATTGGGAAATAAATAACATCTATTTGTCTTCAAAAATAGATTGTAAGTTGTATTATTATGAGAATATTGAATGGTGAGCAATAGAAAACCAAGATCTACCGAGATGGGCTACACCACCCAGGGTGCCTGAGCCAGGGGGCTCCCC